TTTTTTTTTTTTTGGGGAGGGGTGGGGGGGAGAGTGGTAAAAATAACATTCATAGAACCAGATGGCGTGCACATCCAACAGAAGTCAAGGGTACCAAGAATTGTAACATCTTCGGACAAAATACATTGTATATGATAAAAGTGACACTATCAAAAGTTGCCAGCAAGCACATGGAACAGGCCATCCTTTTTTGTTTTCAGGGTTGAAGACAGATTTTGCTTGCATAATCATCAGCAGTATTGCTATTAGGTAACATGACAACCACTAAAAGCTGATAAGAGTTTTTTTTTTGGGTAAGTAAATATGTTCATTAATCTTTGCAAAATGTACAAGTAAATTGTTGTCTTTTGGCCATCAAATGACAACTGAAACAAAAGAAATCAAAACTGATAAAAGTACTGCAACATAGCAGAACTTGTACCCGTTTAAGAAAACAAAAGAAGCAAAAGAAGCTCATAGTCTAGCAAGAGCATTAGAGACCGAGGAACTCCACATTTGAAGGAAGGCTAAGCTCATTGGAGTATGCCAGTAGTTAGCAGTGACAAGTTTGCATTTGATAACTTGAATAATGGATTTGAAGATGGTTGCCACATCCTTGTATTCGTTCCTGAATACAAGGTGTTTGCGACAGCAAACCTTTGTAATGACTGAATTAGTGTGCATCCAGTTTAGGCCAAGGGGTCACTTGGGGCAAATATGAGGCATTGGGCTGACATTACAGTTAAATGTCCATTATTCAAAAATTCAAAATGATATATGAAGACCCAAAAAAAATATATTGCAACTCTATATATTACAGGAATCAGATTTTAACTACTATGAATTAGTGCAGGGAAGAAAAATATAAGAATGAACTTTAAATGAGACAAGCATATGCATGTGAACAAAAGACAAAGAGAAGCATATGTTATCAGAAAACAATAGAGGATATTGTTAAAAGTGACAACTAAGTCATGACTACCAAGTACTGACAAATGCTAGTAAAGATTCAAAACAAATTTTGCTACTTCCACTGAAGAATATTGGATTCACACTAATGAAGATTAAGGGAATAATAATAATTCAATACACACCTACCCCACCATGAAAAATTTTAACAGTAGCTATTGGATCAATAAACAATATAATAAAGTGTCTAGATACCTTGATGCCAAGGGGATTAGCCACCCCTCTTAGAAACTCTACATGTGCCCCATCTAGTTGCCGAGTACGTTCCCCAACCCAAAGCATGTGAGCAGAACAATCATAGTAAAGGCCAGAAGTTGAATCCTCTCTAGTAAGTGCTTGCTCATAAGGTAAAAGCAAGCACTCATGTGATGTCCAGAATTCAGTAGTTGCCATGATAGGATGGTCAACAGTAAGTCCAGCAGCGGCCATGAATCCTAAGGCCTCGTCAACCCTATGAGCCAATTCCTGGTACCTGTTGAACCACCCCAAATAATTATAACTTCATATGGCTTGATAATCATAATAGAAGTTCCATCAAGCTGATTCACAGCTAAACTAAATTACAGAGTTAATGATCTTCCTACCACGATTTTTAAACTTCTTCACTAAAACACCGTCCTTTTCAACTTATTTACCAAACTACGGTTTCTACAAAAGCATGGGTTTCAACTATAGAAGGCAGATAAAGTTCAAAGCTGTATTTTGGTATTAAAAAAAACTCCTAAATTACGTGCACAAACTGAATGAAATCAATCCGGACCATAAATACTAGGAAATAATTATATTTTCCCACTCTCAAAAAAACCTGGACCACATAATCAAAGCCTAAAAAAGCACAAGCAAATGGAATTATGTCAAAAGTATATCCACATCCCTTTTTCTTATACAAACCTATCTCCCTGCTCACTATGCTCCACAAAATCAAGATTCCACTGTGTGACCCTCTGCATTGCAGCATAACCTCCAGTTGCAAAGGCTCTAAGAAGGTTCAGAGTTGCCGCAGCTTGGCAATAAGCCCTTATCATCCTTTGAGGGTCCGGAATTCTCGATTTCTCATTAAAAGCATCACCATTGATATTGTCTCCCTTGTAACTTGGCAGCTTCACTCCATTCTTCTCCTCCAATGGATCTGATCTCGGCTTGGCAAACTGACCCGCCATTCTTCCCACCTAAATTAATCAAGCCCACAATTCAAAATCACAATTCTCAAGTTCCCAATTTTCATATAACCAATAATACTCTTGAAAACCCTTGTGATGGACCAAAATTAATTCTGCAAAATTTTTATTTACTTTTGATCTCAATCCACAATGCCAACAGAAAGAAATGTATAGAAAAACTATAAATCTAAGAACCCATTAATTCAACATCAATGAAACAGGCCAAATTTTTTGGAAACCCGTGAAAATTAATTAATACCCACAACTTAAATTCATTCCATCTGGATATATCTTTACATAATTAAGGAAAAAAAATTATATAGAGATCCATATAAAGGTGTAAGATCCATTACCTTAATAATAGGCATTTGTCCACCAAACATGAGAACAACGCTCATCTGAAGAATAATTCTGAAAGTGTCACGAATATTATTAGCACTGAACTCCTTGAAACTCTCGGCACAAACCCCTCCTTGCAACAGAAAAGCATTCCCCAGCGCGGCATCAGCAAGCTTTTCCTCCAAACTCCTCGCCTCACCGGCGAAAACGATTGGAGGGAAGGCCTCAATGGTCTTAAGCACAGATTCAAGCTCAGCTTCATCTGGGTACTCTGGAAGTTGCAAAGCCTTCTTGGATTTCCAGCTGTCAACTGCCCATTTCCCTGATGGCGCCGCCGTGGACGGTGGTGCAGATGATTTGGGAGTCTTTTCGGTGATGACTGGGGTTTTGGCAGGCTCCGCCGCGTGGACGGCGGAGATGGGTTGGTGGGATCTAGTACTGGAGGGGAGAGAGAAAACGGGTTGATGGGTCTGGGTGCAAGGGAAGAGAGAATGGGGTTGGAGGAGTGATTTGGAAGACAAAGCTGAGGTGTTTGATAAAGCCATTGTTGGTGTTTATGGTTCTTTCTCTCTCAACTCTCCCTGCTTTCTTTGAATAGGTTATTAGAGAGAGGCGGTGGTGGCCTATGGAGAAAGAGGGAATAGACAAACAAGGGTTTATGTCAATGGGGTGGGTGTTCAGTAGACTTTAAAAGTGAGAGAGGACGAGAGAGTGCGGAGGTAGGTGGTTGTTAGTTATTGCTACTAGTTAGGTGAATAAGAGGATTTTTCTGTAATTAAGAGTACAGTATTGCTATCCTTATTAAATTTTGATATTAAATAACATGGCAGTTGATTTAAGTTTATTTATTTGATTTTATGTCGCGAGTTTTTATTGGATTTTAAATGACATGACACCAAATAAAAAAATTTAAGTGAATTATCATGTCATTTAGACTCCAAATTTAATCTTAAAATTTGATCAATGTAGTATTACTCTTAAAAGTATTCAGGTTGCTATTGAACCTAATCCCTATCAGAAAATTTAGGGTAAATTTCATTAATTAGTCCCTGAATTTTAATTTTGATTTTAATTTGATCTCTAAATTTTTAATTATTTTAATTTAATCTCTCAATTATTAATTTTATCTAAATTAAGTTCTTCTGTCAATTTTTATTATTAGATCAAATGGAAACATATGATCAAACAATAGAAATTGATCAAATCGGACTAATCTCTATTTGATCTAATGATAAAAATAGACAAAAAGACTTAATTAAGATAAAAATTTATAGTTAATGGATTAAATTAGGACAATTAAAAATTCATATAACCAAATTAAAATCAAAAATAAAATTAAAAGACCAATTATAATTTTTATCCTAAAATTTATTGAATTGTAATTGTAAAATTTTCGCAATGTTAGTCCCTCAAAGGTTGGACACATTTAGAATTTGTTACGAATAAAAAAAATTATGCTTATTTGAATAGTGATATATTTGTTATTTATGGTATTCAAAAGATAATAAAATCATTTATTAAAAATTTTGATTTGAAACATTTAGTTTAAAACAAAACATTAATAATGAAGAACGAAACAGTTACAACAGTATTTACAAAATAGTTACAAATACAAAACAGTACAGTTATACAATAAATCTGAATTTAAACAATATAAAAACTGATTCATTTGCAAAACAAGAAATGTTATTAAATTTTAAGAAGATCAATACTAGTGTTTGACACTATATCTTTAAGACAGATTTTGCCCCCACATATGGTGCTTATGGAAATTAAAGCATCTGTCTCATAGAATACAATGATCTACAGACGAGTAGAAGTAACACTCCAATCTACTCGTCCAGCGAATCAAAAATTTATGTTGTGTACTCTGTAAATACATATCATCTTAATGTCAAAATGTAATGCATTAATGCTTGCTTTAACTCTAAAAATGGATTGATGAATTGATCGATGCAGAATGGTAATGAGAGTCTGGGTATTTATAGACAGTCTGGTGATTATTCCAGACAACCACCATGCAAAAAGACACAACTCAAAAGACACCACTCGTATAATTGTTCTCTATGAACAGACACAACATAGAATTTTGGGCTAAAAGGAAGTTACAATCTAAACTAGTATGAATTCAAATCTAATGAGTACTGAAATTAAATTTCGAATTAAGAAATTCACGCTCAATTAATTAAACAAATTTTCTCCAAAAAAATAAGGGTTGGTCTAAACTACACTCACACCCGTGCTCAACCTAGCCGAGTCGTGGTCATGGCGTGACGAGACAGATCGGGCAGCGCGCATGTGGTTGAACCAAAAGTATGTAAGCACTCACTCTGCTCATAAAATTGTGATACCCCTTGGGGCCCAATTTCCATAAAACAACTTGACCTATATATATCAATGTATAACTTCTTCCTCAATCAATGTGGGATTGGTATCAAATCTCACATTTCGCAACCTCTATTTTCACATTTCAAAAGAGTCACTTTTGAAATTTATTTTCTCATTTATTTTTTACTTGATTTGAGCAAATGAATATATTATGTTATTCTCCTCACGAAGTAGAATACGAATTTACGAAATTTTACTTGAAATAACGAGTGGATCTCATTTTAATTTATGGTCAAAGTCGACTAAAAATTCAATTTTTATACTTAAAACCTGTTTTGGTCCAACAATATTTACGAAGATTATAGTATTGAAACTTATTTTTATAATATTAATATTACAATAATAATTCTGGATTGAAAATCTTACTTTTAATTTTTTGTAGTCGTTGATCACATAAATAATAAAATAAAATACTAAAAGTTTGCCCGTCTTACTTTGTGATTGACAAAAAAAAAACATGGAATCTAAAAGTACTATCTTCTAACCAATTTTTCAAAAATCTGAAAATTATGTTTTATTAAAAAAGTAGATTTTATACTGTTGTGAATTCTCAGTAAATATGCTTCTCGTTTGCTTGTGTTTCATTTCAGAAAATTCTTTTTAATTTCCATTTTTTATGTTTAACAGTTTGATGTCACGTATCTATACAATAAAGTAGAACGATTTTGAATTTTAGAAACAAAAAGAGGTTCAGATCGTTTGATGACAAAAAAAGACATCATCCAACGAATGACATTATCTCAAACTGTTTTAAGCTATTGACGTCTCGGATCATCTCAAAATTTCTGATCCAACGCACCAAATTAGCTCCCAAATTTATTATCTCGCCCAAAATATTTTTTTTTCTTTTAATCCCTCAATCACAAGAAATCTCTATCCGTTTATCATGTTCTCTCCCTTAATTTACTCCACCGGTAACCATTTTCCATACTCAGACGACGCCGCCCAAATCTAGCCTTGATATCCCATACCCATATCTTCCCCAAATCTCTCTCTCTCTCTCCGTCCTTCAACAATGCGACAACCATAGTCGCCACAAATGCTACCATAGCCACCACTGAAAAACACCCCCACAACACTATCGAAAGCCTCCCTCCATCGCTAACGACCACCAAAACAAGCGGGTGTGGCCTGCTATGGATGAAAAAATAGCCACAATCTCTCTCTGCCTTCATCTCTCTGCTCCTCTCACTCCCTCTGTCCATCACCTTCCATCAACCAAACCCAATCCAATCATTACTTTGGAAAACTTCTTTGGCTAAAATTATGGAAGCAGGTACACATCTATAGCTTTTCTTGATCGATTATTTCTATAGTCTATATAGTCGAACTCATGAATTTGGTGATTTCTCAAGTCCCAAGTTAAAACAATGAAAAAAGAAATCCATTTTGCTTTCTAAGAAATATTGGATTGGTTTTAAATTTGTATATGAAGATGTTCTTTCTAGCTATTTTTTAACCTTCTTTTTTACCCAAGAGTTGGTGACTGAGTAGGTATTTTATTGAGGGATGGATTTAATCTGCTAATCTTTATTAGACATAAAAATCCTTATTACCCAAGGACGAGAATTTTGAACGGTGTTTGTTACAATTTTTTGGTCACAGTCCTCATTTGAACGGTGTTTTTATTTCAATTAAACTAGAGAGAGAAACTCAGTAAGTATCTGCTAAAAATGAATCTTTTAGCATGAGGTGAAATGAGTTTTCTTTATTGTTGTTGTAGGCACCCGCAATACGGTTCAATTTGTTTTCAATAATACCATTGAATTCCATCTTCTCTGATGTAATTTGTTCCCAACAACATCCTTTCTTTGCTAACAGTGTTTTGTTTATATTTCAACTCATGGGCAGACCATATAGAAATGGAGAAGTAATTTTGATTGATCACAAAGTTGCAATGAGGAGCACAACCAAGGATTTCGCAATAGCCTGAGTTGATTTCATTGCTCGAGTTCCTGATACATTTGTAATTGCTTGAACTTCAATTATTTCAGTTTAATCATGTTAATTTCTATTACAATCAATCGATTTCCAATGTGTATGCATAGGTTTGACATTTTCAAAGTTATACTCTGATTTTCAATCATTTTTTCTCAATGTTTAAAAGTTGTAGGTTCTTTGTTCTATCTACATATTTATAAACTTCCAAAAATGGTTGCTTAATGTTTATTTCGGTTTTTCAATGAATCGAAGGGGCTAATTAAAGATCATAGGGGGGTATTTTTTATTTTTACTAGTGAGATGATGAGAGAGAGTAATACAACAAAGCATCAATTACAATGGGTTGGTTAAACCATAATTCCAAATGTGGTTAAGCAAACACCATATTTTTAACTTTAATCTCATGTGCACACACATAAGTCAATGATTAGGGAAGTTAAAATTATACATATGATGAAAACGAATTTTTTGTTAAAGTTAATAATAAATTTAGACTGGGTGACAAATTAAGTCAAATTGTATACTTGCAGGGCTATATCGACACAAAAATGAAGGCCAATATAGAGTTTAGAGTAAACTATATATATAATCTTCAAATTATGATATTTGTGTTAATTAAATCTTTAAATTTTTTTTTATGTCAATTAAGTCTTTAAACTCTGTCAATTTGAGTTTTTTGGTCTATTTTTATTATAGTGTGTCACTCACACGATTATATAACATAAAAAGACAAAAAAATGCAATTGATACAATTAAAAAATTTGGGGGATCAATTGATACACACACAAAAAAAAAATTATAGACTTAATTGACGTAAAAATTATAATTTGAGGGATATATATATAATTTATTCTAACTATTTATGCCACATAAGTGCCACACTTCGTCATTTTGTATTAAAAAATTTAACACAGGTAGACATAAGAATTTAATTAACATAATTAAATAATTATTTTTTGATCAAAGAATAACTATAACATTTACACTTAAACATGTAAGGCAGCAGCATCCTTATAACCAACACTTACATAATTAGATAGTTCGACGACTCAATCGATATAAAAAATATTCAGAGACTTAATTGGACAAGACTCATAATTTAAGGGTGTTTACTCTAGAGTTTATTCTCGTAATTTTTCAACGAAAACCAACAAACATGTTATCGAGCAAGTAAAACAAGGATATACCGCGGGAACTGTTGGTTACTTGGTTATATCGACCCAGTCTGTCTTCTCTTCTCTCTCTCTCTCTCTCTCCCCCTCATGTACACACACCCTCGGAGTCTCAGGGAAGAACCCAGTTGGTTTAATCTCCCCAATAATCTCCAACCACACCATGTCTTCAACAATTCAATCATTCAAAACCCCAACACACTAACCACCACAGCCATTCCACTGAACCTCAACATGTCAGTCACGTCCCAAAACCTCCTAGCAAACTCACAATCTCGTTTCTCCTTTTACTTCACAAACACCCATTTCAAAACCCCCACACCCTTTCTCCCACTTCCCTCCAAACACTTCACCAACTCCTTACATTTCCAAATCCCAAAACATCCATCTCCGATTTCGTACAATTTCAAATCTTTCAATACCCATCACTGGCCTCTCAAAGCCTTCAAATCGGAGATAACCCTAGAGAAACAGAATGATGACAATAACTTCAATTTGGATGCTTTTCTTTCGATTCTTGAGTTTCTATGTCTTGGCTTTTCAGCAATAATTTCAATTGGGTTTGCCGTGAATGTGGCGATTTCAAAGTCACAAAATCAGGTTTTGGGGTGGTTGTGGAACAAGGTTTTCGTGTGGCAGTGTGTGTTGTTAGTGGGCGGGGTGGTGATTGGGGCTGTGATTAGGAGAAGGCAGTGGAGGAGAATTTCTTTGGGTTTTTCGAGGCCGGGTGGTTCGAGGGCTAATTTGGTGGAGAGGATTGAGAAATTGGAGGAGGATTTGCGGAGCTCGGCTACAATTATTAAGGTTTTGTCGAGGCAGTTTGAGAAGTTGGGGATTCGGTTTAGGGTCACCAGGAAGGCTTTGAAAGATCCCATTGCTGAGGTAATGATAATTTTTTCTGGCATTCAGTAACTATGTCTTTGTGTTGGTGACCAATGATACGTTGAAAATATGATCACCGGGAAACATTATGCTTTGTTGGATTTGCATTGTGCTTGTAATGGATGTTGACATGGTACTTGTAGCTTGTGTAAGTGTTCAGTTCATTTTAAGCTGTGAGACATGCAGCCTAGCTTTGTTGGATGCAATGCCGCATAAAAAACCACCCTAGGCATGTAATTTTACATTTGATAGGGGTGTTTCTTTGTCTTGCTGTTTTAAGTAGAGCAATGGATAAGTTACTAGAAATCTACTAATGGTATCAAAAGGTACTATGTGGGATGAAAAACTGGGGTATCTAGCAAAGACGTTGTTGTAGAAATGGTATGATAGATGTAAGGAAAATGTAGGAGAAATAAACCAGAAATGAGAGAATATGCTTTGTATTTGTTTAAGCGTGTGTTATGCTGTACTATATGCTTGATTTGGGATCCTAATTTCTATACCTGTTTTTGTTCACATTTCTATGTACTCAAGTCAGGCATTGTGGTTCTTAAAATCTAAGTTTAGCTTAGAGAAAACATGTCCGGGTAGAAACTAGTTGTGCATCTGCCAAACCTGATCCAACATAGTTCCTCCCCCTCTGAAAAAAAAAAAAGAATAAGTAAAAAATTGAAAATGTAAAGCATATGTTCTAATAATAGTTGGTTATCTAAAACCAAACTATAGAGTCTTTGTTGAGTTGAGAGGAGTTGAGTTGAGTTGAGTTATATTAGTGCAACCCAAGAAATTAGTTTGCCAATTTGAGATACAGGTTTACCTGCTAGAATATGGAACCCTCAGTTCCTGAGTGAGATCCAATTCGAAGAGTCAATGGGAGTAGTTGCGGAAGGTGATCATCTTCACTGACACGATGAAATAGGTTGACTATGAGAAGTTGTTACTTTGTGCAACCAGAAGCGCCTTTCTGAACAAGATATTCATGAAACCAGAACCCATTTTATGCCAGTGCTAAGGCTAATTGACTTTCTAACGCCTAAATAGGTGGAATAGGGTTTTACACATTTTGCCGCTGATTCCACACTATTGGATAAAGCACTGTTTGATTGACTAAGCCTTATATTGGCAAGCGATATTAGTTTTGTTGTTTGCAAGACCTCTGTTTATTGTAGATTATAACATTTGGTTCCTGAATGAAGGCTGCAGCTTTGGCTCAGAAGAATTCTGAGGCTACTCGGGCATTGGCAATTCAAGAAGACCTTTTAGAGAAGGAGCTTGGTGAAATGCAAAAGGTTCTTCTGGCAATGCAGGTAGATATGACATAATGGTATAGCCACCTGTTTATTTGCTTATACCATTTGAATTCCCATAAGCATTTGGTACTTGTTAGGATTCATGTGTTATTAACAGGTTTCAATTAGAGTTTAGACTTTAGAGTTGAAAGTTTTCCCTTTTTTGATAAGTATTGTTGTGTATCATATCAAGATGTGGTTTGTATCCCCTCTCACCATTTTTAACCTGTTTAAAATTGGCTTCAAACTGTACTGCCACTCAATCTTTATAGCTTTCCATTTGTGCAGATTTAAGTGATTTGCAGATTGCTATTTTGATGGGATCTAATTTGTTGTCTTGCTAAGAACTGGTTGAAATCATTGGCCTCTTATAGACATGATGATTTGATTTTTAGTCTTTAAAGAAACAGATCAGTTCTTCTTTTTCGGCAAAAGTGTGAGAACTGTGGTGTGTTTTTCATCACCTTCTGGCTACCGCTTTATCGTATAAAATGCTCCTGCCACGTCTTCTCCTATTCAGGTCGATGCTGGAACAGCATTGGCCTATTCAGGAAGCAATTTGTACCTTGGATATCCGTTTTTGGAAATAATAAGAGCATAATAATCTTTTTTGCTGAAAGGTTTTGGATGAGACTATTCCCACCTCACAAATATCTTCCCAACCCCATTAAACTCTCAATATAAGAAATGACTATTTCCACCCCATTCTATACACCCCAGTAGTGACTTGTGGGTATGAAATAAGTTTTTGTTTGGTAATGTAATGAAACACTCCTTACAAATGAAATCACTTTGAATTTCTGAAAATTATTTTCTATTTCTATAAAGCACTTCATTTCTTGGTGTCAAAACACTATATGTGGTATAAAAATAGAGGATCTATTCTCTTTTTTTTTCAAATTGATCTTGGAGCTTGTGTAATGCTTTCTCTCAAACTCTTATCTACTTCTCTCTCCCCCTCCCCCCTCCCCCCTCCCCACCTTCTAGTCACTAAATTTCTGCTATTAGAAATTTTCACACAACTTTCAGGCCACCAGATCAGCAAATACTTTAAACTCATTGTTTGATAACCCTATTTCTTATGCTTTGATCTTTATCCCACCATTTTCCATTCGCATTTCAGGCTAAAATGCAAAAACTCATGGCCATCCTGCCTTAGAAGTTCAACCAGTCTTCTGTTCTTCTCTACTCATGGCTATCTGCTTCAGAAGTTCAACCAATCTTTTGTTCTTCTGTTTCTCCCTCCAGATAAACCACAAGAAACATATAGCCGAGTTGTATCACGTCTCTCATATTATGTATTCCTGATATAACTCTTCTAGAATTGGTCTTCTGGTGCTAAAATAGGCTATGCTTGGTGAGACCTCTGCTACCGGGATGCATACCCATCTTTATATGGAAGGAGGTTATTTTACATGGGGTGTCTGGGGGCGGGTAAACAAATCCCTGGGGTGGGGATATTATATTTGATATTATAAGGGGGTGAGTGGAAATTGGGGTGGGCTTGTTTAGTCACTAGTGGAGGGGTATAAAATGGGGTGGGTTTAGTGGTTCTTGTATAAGAAGTTTAATGGGGTGGGGATGAATATTTTTTGGGTGGGAATACCCCAACCCAAAGGTTTTAATCTGGAGGGATAGTTAGTTTTGCCTCTAAACTAGCATTTGAGAAACTCCTAATCATAAAAACTTTGTTGCTTGTATTCTATTTTTTTTTTTTTTTGGCAAACCCTTTCATAGTCTAATTTATAATTAAATATATCTATTAATTTTAAGGCTGACTTTAAGAAACTTATTTTTCCAACTCATTTTGTTTTATTGTTTCCTTATAATGTCAATATAGATCAATTGGGTTTGATTTAGAGATGTCTCAATTAGAAATTATGTGCATATCAAGCAATAGCAACAAAGATGTAGATCCTGCATATGCACCTATGTGGAAGCATGATGGTCTTTCCATGTTTTGCCCTTACATTGAATCTAACTTTTGTCTGCAAATGCATTGATTGGAAAATATTTGAATTCAAAGTCTCAAAGTTGAATAAAAATAGGGATCTTAGATATGCACTTATATCTAATTGAGTGTTAGGGCTCCATTAAGTTGATCATTATGAATGTTACGATTCATTTAATTGGGAGGTTCAATGCGTTTTGAAACTCTCCTACTCCTTTATTTCCCGCCCCTCATTGGGAGTTAAAGAGTGTCAGTCCGTCCTTGTCTTACCTGAAACGAAGTCTTATTGTACCCTTTTGGGATTTCATTCTTCTTGATGGCTACCCCTCTTTGAGTAGGTGTTTGGAACCAGGGATTCTACTGAAGAAAAGGAAAGAATAACGATTTTGACTCCAATCTCCTTCGGCCACTATATTGTTTTGATCAATTCTGTTCTAGGTCTTCTTTTCTGGATCCTCACTGCATAGAAGCCCATTCAGTTCTGATAACAACCACCTTCCCCATCCTATTCATGACAAAACACCACTAAACCACACATCTTTGCTTAGCATCCTCAACACACTAAAAGTTGGAAATAATTTCACGTTATCAACATACTTTTTGTTGTGCAAAATTTTAGCTTGGGGAATTCATCAAAAACTGCCGCCTTAGGATGTTCATAAAGTCTGGAGCTTTGAATTATGTATGTTCATATCATAAGTACTCAAATTTCTTTTAACTGCGTTGTCAAGATGCTGCTAATCCAATTTTAACTCTTCTTTTTCTGTAGGAGCAGCAGCAAAAACAATTTGAACTGATTCTTGCAATTGGGAAGACTGGAAAGTTATGGGAGAGCAGGCGGGAACATACGCCAGACCAAAACACAATTGAATCAAGTAATTCATCTGTGGATGGGATACCACGACTGGGAACAAACCAAATCCAAGCTCTGGCAGGACAAAACGAAGCCAGCAATGACAGGGCCTAGGACTGGATTTTGAAGCTTCAATTTCGGAATCAGATTTGCTTATCTTATTCAAAAACTCCTGGAAGCCAATACTTGAATGGTTTGTTGAAGACCATGGAGATTAGTGGATGGCATTTTGGTCATTTGTAAGGAATCATATCCTAAGCCAGTTAAACAGGTTCTAGTTTCTTGAATTTGCTAGTCCAGGGGAGAAACGAAACAACAAAGTAGACAGAGGAGAAAAGAGAGGAGAAAGAACAATTAATGTCTTTGTACCAATAATGCATTCTGTTCTTGTGTCATTCGTGGTGTATGATATTGATCAAAGCTGTTTTCTTTTTTTTTTGGTTGGTTAAATGGTGGGACCTAGGTTGATCATAAGCTAATGTTGTGTAGGGTATTGGCAGCATCTGATGATAACGTGGGCTTAAGTAATTTTTTTGAGTATCAAAGCTATCTCTGTACGAGAGAAAAAATATATTTGATTACTATAATAAAAGAATATGAATTTAAAAAACAAAAGAAAAATATACAACTATGAAAGTTAAAAAACATCAATGTTAACTTCTCTCCACTGTTGAAGATGCTTTACAGAAAATAGTGTTTTTAGAATACTATATATATTTAAAGTTCCAAAGCTTGGAAAGAAGGGGTGGTGGCGCAGTTGGCTAGCGCGTAGGTCTCATAGCTTCTGAGTTATCCTGAGGTCGAGAGTTCGAGCCTCTCTCACCCCATTGTTTTATAGGTCTTGCTTTTTTGGCCAGGACTGAATCACAATATGGTAAATCTAAAGTTGTAATCACATCTGAGGCAACTTTTTTTTTTTTGGTTAAAGTTTAACGGTCGTGGGAGTCTAGACTAGTTAAAGACAAATCATCCAACTCAAATTTAAATTCGAGTAAAAAAATTCAAAAAATCTCTCTTCATCCTTTGACTTCAACTTACATCAAATCAAAAAAACTTGTTTGTTGACCCAAATTAAAGGAATATCAAACTTTTTACTCAAAATATTTTCAGCCAAAACAGAAGCCCTTTCTTCTCTCGACCATCTGCAAAAAAAAGGGTTCCACACCAAAAATTCATCAGGCTCCTCCATCACGGCAAATCTGCTCGTTCTCGTCCGTCACCACACAATGCCATGGCTAGTGAGAGGCCAAAAAGGGTATATAAATCAATGCCATGGTATGTAAGTTTGAAAACTCTGGTAGAGTGGTAATTATTAACTCCCCTTGAATAAGATATGGAGAGTATTTATATATGGAATCTTTATCATTCAACGCTAAATAATGCTGTGCTTTATAAGTATGCGTCCCCACAGGCTGCTTGAGCTATTCATATATCTTAACAGTTTATACCGTGAAACAAATACTTCACAAACACAAAAGTTGTTTATGTTGCCTGCAATGCGCAGCCACCTGAATTGAACAAATTTTTAGGCTCCACAAACTTGCAACCCCTCAAATGGCGTACTCTTTTTCTCGAAAACCTGCTAGTCTACCTTGCGACTATTGCCATTGTTTTCATGCATCCGAAGGGGGAGAGGATCACCAAGAAATGATTTCAAATGGTTGCACAGCTCTTTGGACTTCTCCACGTTGATTGCGTGCCCTGCGTTCTTTAGAATAACTAGTTGTGCACTTTCACCCAAGTGCCTATACAAAACATAACATATGAAGAAACACAAGTTCAAGCTAGAGCTATTCGAAAGGGTCATAAAAGAAAATGTTACATTCGATGGCCAAGAAGATGGAATGATAGGTTAAAATTCAATGACATTTTACAACTTGAATCTTAAAATTCCTCAGATGTACCTTTTCAATCGGTGTGCCAATTCCAGTGGGAATATCTGATCCTGTTCTCCCCAGGTGATTAATGTGGGCTGCATCAAGGATCTAGGGGATGAAGAAGGCGCCAATCAAAGAAACCAAAGATACTAGAAGACATGTTAATTATTGTAAAATGAGAACTATTAGAACCTGAGTAATCTTTGGAAGGTCAGATAGTTTTCTATCCTTGTGTAAGGCTTGGACCAACTCTTTTCTTTCTTGGACGTATACTGTATGCATCTCCTGCATAATTAACCAAATAAACCAAATGAACAACAGGCAGAACAATATTATGTATATTCAACTTCCTTGCACCAACTAAAAAGCAACACCAAGCAATAACATACTAACACCAGATCAAAACAAAGATGAGTAGTGACAGGGACATTTCCGTAGTTTTATGGGATAGCAACACGTGTCCTCAGCATTTTGGCATCGGACCATCCCTTGGGTGACACTTGTCCTCGACATTAATGCCATTGAAGCGTCCCCTGGATGACGCGGATCCTCGACATGAATGCCCATGGAGCGTCCCTTAAGTGACACGTGTCCTTGGCATGAATACCCTTGGAGCGTCACTTGAGTGACACATGTCCTCAGCATGAATGCCCTTAGAGTGTCTCCTGGGTGACACNGTGGATCCTCGACATGAATGCCCATGGAGCGTCCCTTAAGTGACACGTGTCCTTGGCATGAATACCCTTGGAGCGTCGCTTGAGTGACACATGTCCTCAGCATGAATGCCCTTAGAGTGTCTCCTGGGTGACACGTGTCCTGGGCATAAGATAGCTAGGAATGTTTTTTACCCTTGTCCACATCTTCAAGTTCTCGGTATCAAACCATTCACATTTCACACCAGCGCAAGGTGAACAGTTGCCTTGACAATTAGCCCGTGCCAAGTGATGAGGTTAGATTCCTAAAGGAAAAGGAGGTCAGCTGATGCATACTGTGATCGAGGTAAAACAGAATATCATGACTTGGGAGCAGGGTTGACTATCAATCATCAGTCCCCTTTCCTAAGGCTATCAGAATGTTTGGGAAGCCAATTCAGTAACCAATGATAAAGGCGTACGAAGTACAAAACATTTAATTCTTGACCCCTTAGAAGGTGATTAACGAAAATGTCTTTGCGCATGCATAGCCACAACCAGGGCGTATTAAATGACCTTAGAGAAAGATGGGACGTATTTATTGTTCGACGGAGTCAGGAAGTGTGCATTTAATGCTCGGGGATCCGAGCATTGGCGGGCACTCAGCTCAAGGTCTATGCACCAGATATTGCCCTCCAAACGAACCAATCAATTGTCTTCCGTCTAAGAGACTCAACTGTCCACAATGATTAACTCTTGAAAGGTATAAATAACATCCTCGAGCTCAAGGCTCAGGTACACAACCATTTGCCCAAGCAATAAAACAGTGTTTTCAAACCCTTTCTCAAATACTGACTTGACCGTCAAAGGGGTTACGCCGGAAAACTCTTCAGCGCCCTTCTAACCCTTCTTTATTGAGTGACAGGACTCTGTTTGAGAATTGTAGAGAATTCCATTACCGTGCATTACGTTTCCTCAATAGCCATTCGTTGTGGGATACTTGACTTTCTAGGTAAACTTGAGCTCAGGGGAGAGATGTGTCACCTCATTCATTATACTAAAATCATCCTGCACAAGTAGCAATGCTAGGTGCTTTATTGGTGCTAGGCCACCATACCAACACCAATTACAAACTTTACCCAACCAAAAGCAAGTTACAGTATCTAAACTGCATTCTTCTAACAACTGATTCGTTTAGCCCATATGCACATTTTCTGTAACTGGTATCAGGGGACAATGTAGTGCAGACGATTCGCCCCTTGACTTCTTATATGTACGAGAGTTAACATTTTGACTCTCCTATGGTTCTGTTCACAAAGCTCCTCTTTTTAACTTTTGCTTTTTCGAGGGGGAAGGGGGCGTTCCCTTAGCTATGTGCCTAAATGGTACAGCTTCTTATAGTCCGATAAATTTACTTATCAAAATAGGAAAACGGAAAGGATTATAGCAAAAAGCATTCATAGTCAAAAATGTAATTTAATTGAGAATATCTCTGAAATGTACAAGATATTGTCAATTCATGCTCTTTGCACCAAGTTTAGATACAGGAATCAAAAGGATATACCTTATCATTAATCAGAAGTTGAATAAAAGATAAAAGTTGTAGGTTACCTTTTACTTGAAGCCCTCAAACTGTTATACTGTTAAAATTTCTGTAAAAATTTCTACTTCCAGCATACTTGATTTTTTATTCACTTGACTGTATTTGTGAGCATTGATGCAAGGTCCACAAAAGATAACAGATTGGTTTAGAAGATCATATTATAACTTCAAATTGGCATGTAAACTATGTGGGTCATCAAGGTCCAGGTGACCTATAGAACTTTGCATCTCTTTTGAACCAAACCTAGTAGCACATTCTCTTTCTTATTATAAAGCTCGTTTCTCTCTTCGCTTAAAAACTTGTGAATGAAGCTTAAACCTTTTACAAGGAATGTCATTTATGTCCCCTTTTGAGACCATGACCTGCCATTCTTAAGAGAGGGTGGTTCATGCTCAAATCACTTTGGACAAACATGAAACGAGTAAGATTCTGCATAAGGCTAGAGGTTGCACATTTTACAAAACACCCCTAGATTATCAGGCTCAAAACTCATTCTGCAAAAAAAAATATTCCATCCAGAACAACAATTCACATAACCAATTTCACATAAAACCGGATACCCATCAGGAGTCTGTATATCACTAATATTCAACTTCAATCACTCAACTCAACATAGTCTTATCCCATGTCTCAACTATTGAGGGTCTGGTACATGAATCAAACATCAATCACTAGCATCCTAAATCAAGGGAACTTTCCGATGTGCAAACCTACGCTGAATGGCATATGACTAGACAAAAATAGTTTTCCATAAGCGGAAAATATTCGTTTCTTAAGGGTAATAGTGAGATTGAAAAACATAAACAAACTATTATAGCCTCAAAACAAATGTTACATAAGATCAGACAAATTATGAGAAAGTATGGAGGGTAATTTGGCAAGCCCAAATGCATCACCAAAATTATAAAACAACATACTGAAATGTATAATGTGTTCAAAGGCAATTCTTTATACTAGATATCAGCACTTGAAAATGACAATCACTCTGGCCAATTAGACAATCCCAATAAACTCATAGAATAGATCAACAAGTACCAAATCCAGAACAATGAACCTTTTTTCCCCATTTCATGGCAACCAAAACAGGAGCATCACAACACACTTTTGTCCATAGTTTTCCCCATGAGGCAATCAGAGGTCCAGAACACAACAATCTCAATAGGATACCAGTTTCCAATTCATCAATTCGTCTGAAAACCAATTCTGCAACTCTCAGGTATTTAGAATATCATAACTCTCTTTAATGAGGGCAGTCCTTGGCGCAACAAAGGTTGCTCCATTGTGACTTGGAGGTTATGGGTTCGAGTCATAGAAATAGTGTAAGGATACGTACATCTAACCCTCTACAAACCCCGCAATGGCGGGAGCCTCGTGCATTCCGGGTACATCCTTTATAACTCTCTTTAATCCATAATTTTCCATCTCAGGCAACAACGTCAGCAGTTCAAACTTAGATCAACTCATGCACAGAGGTTGGTCCTTGGTGCAACGGTAAGATTGTTTGATTGTAACGTGGAGATCACGAGTTTGAACCGCAGAAATAGCCGCTTGTAGTGGTAAAACTGTGTACATTTAACCACCCTCAGACCCCACAATGGTCTAGGGAGGGTAATTATCTAGTTCTATAATGTTGACTCACCCAACCTCAATTTCCACACAAATCCTAGTTCAAAACCCATCAATTATTTCAAAAACAATGTACTCAATTCTCAATTGATCATTCAAATACGCAATGTTCAAATTTCCTAAATGTATCACAATCCACAAAAATGGGCAGCCCATTGTATGAAGTGATATGAAGGTGGAGTTTCCGCGACTCAAACCCGATTGTCAAGTTCCACCCTCAATGTATCATAATTCACAATAAATCAACTTATGAATAGCAAATTCAAAAAACTTACCTCAATAAAATCCGAGAGAAAGCAAGAAGGCAGAGTCTTGGGCGGCTTGTAAAACGAAACCGTTATCATCTCCCTCAACTTCTCCGGCGTCTGCGCAAACAATACACTCATAACCTCCTCCACACTCTTTTTTATAAACATCCCCTCCTCCATATCCTTATCCTCCATACACACCGCAGCACAACATATCACCACCCTCTCCACCGCCGCCGGAAACTGCGCCGCCAAGCTATACCCAACAAACCCACCGTAGCTCAGTCCCACCAGATTCATTTTGTTCACCCCGTGCGCCTCCATTGCCCTCATCACACACTGAGCTTGAAAACTCTCGGACCGTTCCGGTCTAGAAGTGTACGATTCGCCGAAAAAGACCAAGTCAGGGACATAGACGTTGAACTTTGAGATTAATGGGGAAATGAACTCGTTCCATTGCCACATTGCGTTGGCTCCGATTCCATGGATTAGGACCAAGTTGGGTTTGTGAGCTTTGTGGGTTTTGGGTACCCAGCAGTGAATGACGGTGCCGTCCCCGAGGTCGGTGCTGGATGATTTCAGTCCGGCGATGGTGAAGGAGAATTTGTAGCAGGAGTTTCTGGTAGCCGTGAAGCTGAAACACTTGCCCATTGGTGATGAAAGAACCAATTCTAAGATCTGATGAGAAATTGGAGGACAGAGATTCAGAAGAATCTAGGAGAAAAACAATATTTTTTGTGAAGTGGGTATTTCGGGAGATGTTTAAGGGCACGAAACGTGAGAATCGAGAAAACAATGTTGTCGAGGTAATGAATGGCGAATCTGGGACTTGAGCTGTAAAGCCATGGAATTTAGAATTTGGAGAGAGAGAGTGAGAGGGGATGGTCAATGTAAGTTGATGCGGGCGACCGTTATTGGTTGGCGGCTGTAGAAAAAACAAAGCTGACAGCGTATGTGCTTGTGCTCTACCATGCAAGCCGATCACGTTATCCAATTTTCAACCACTATAATCGAATAATACAAAATTCATTTTAAAACATATTTTTTCCCTCAAAAATATTTTTTTTTCAAAACAATTCTTAATGTTAGACAATTCCAATAATATATTTTTTAATGCCAAATAATCTCATTAATTCATACATATCTCTCTCTATCCCCTATCTTTCTCTTATTTTTTCTTCATGTCCACTATAACTAAATTATGTCATTAAATAAAAGAAAAAAATTAATATTTATAATATAAAATATTACACAATTAATGCTCAATTTTTAATATTTTAGAGTGTCTTTAGAAACAAAATTATTATTAGTAGTATATTTATAATAATAAAACAAAGTCTCTTACTTAAATTACTTAAGCTCTTCACTTAAAAAACACAATAACAACTAAAATTATTTAAATTCGACGATTTATATTAGAGTAATGCTAGATGAATTTAAAAAATAAACTTAAAAATTAGACTTGATAATCTCAACCACTGATTTCACTGTGAATTTTAACATTTATTAGGATCTATTATCTATTTAATGGTTGAGATTATCAAGTTTAATTTTTAAATCTATCTAGCATTACTCTATATATTACGATTTAAAAAATTAAATTTTAAACATTTACTATAATAACTTAAATTTTTAATTTTTTAATTACAATAACTTGTACTTTTTAAATTTTTTAACTTTCTACCCGTAATAACTCAATTAAATTCACATACATTAAAACAAACGTGCTTTTTCCGTTTGCGTTAATGTTTTGTTTGGCGCCGCGCAGTTGATTTTGACCGTGTTGGTGGAAAGTCATCTACCTCATCTAGGATGCAATTTGATTAATATTTTGGGTTGTTAGGTAAAAATATTTCTAAACCTATTAAAAGTCAAACATTACTTATGAATTCACAGTCTTGAATTCTCAAGTGTCCAGTCGAATTCAACCCAAATTAGATAATTGGATCCGACTTAAATTCTAGCTTGAATATGTGTTACTCGACAATCAAATTCGGGTTTAATCTGAAGGAAAAAAAAACTTAATTTTTAATACGAATTTTGTATCGCAAGTAGGAGTGTCCATAGGCCGGGCCAAGCCGAACTAGGAGAGCGAAATTTTTTTCAAGTTGGGTTTGGATAGGATAGGCTCAAGTCCTTATCCAAGAATGTTATTAAGCGGGCCGAACTGGGCTTCGGGTAGGGATAGGCTACCCGTGAGCCTATTCGACTGACATGTGGGAGGACTTATTGGGCTGGCCTATGTATATTTTTGTTTAAAAATAATGAATATTTTTGTAATTTAATATTTGTACAAATTATATTTTTAAATTAAAAGTATAATCAAAATAAATAAAAATAAAATAATGAATAATTTTATTTTTGATTAAGGAATGAACTACATCCAATAGAATAAATAAATCTCAATTAGGTTGACACTTACTAACTTATCTATCATTTGCATTATTCTACTCTTTAAAACTTATACAAAGAAAATAATATATTGATTATAATATCTAAATTTTTAAAATTTCAAATTCCGATATTGGGAGACTTATTTCAAAATTTTAAATTTAATATTCTAAAAGTATAATTTTTTTTCAAAGAAATGGTGGGTCAAGCCCTCTTTTAAAGGATATTGAGCTCGGGTTTGGGTGTGCCAACTATTGAACTTATCAGATTTTGGGCCTACATTTTTTGGACTGGGTAACAAGACTCGTGAGTAACCCAACCCATGAACACCCCTAATCTCAAGAGCGAAATTCAATTTCAAATTGAATTTCGGTCTGATTTATATGGTCTAAGTTTGAAAACTAAAACTTTCGAAATACTCGTTGAAAGGTTAGTTAAATTCAAATTGAATGTTTTATAATTTGAATTGAGTTTGATTGACTTTAAATAACTAACCTAATTGTCTCTTTACTTTCATGTTAATCTAATTTAAAAAAATTCATAGTCATTAAAGTTGTGTTTGATAACAAGTTATTTTTACTTTTTTCTTGTTTTGATTTTCAATTTTTGGCAAAAAAAAAAAAATTGTGTTTGTAATGTGTTTATATTTTTTTTAGCAGCTCTGTTTTACAAATAAGGTCAAAAAATAAAAGCACAAAAAAGATATTTTTCATAAACACCCAAAAACAAAAACAAAAACAGGCGTGCACTGCATCATGGGATTAATTAGATCCTGACTTTAATCCTCGTTAACAAAAAAAAAATGAGTTTTCTCACTTGAGTATAAAATCCCCTCCTCTTTCACTCCCTCTTTTTCCTATCTCTTCTATCCTTTCTGCACCTCTCTCTATTTTTTTTTTTTGGGGGGTTGGGTGGTGAATTTTCGATGGGATCGGATGTTGAGTTTTCGGTGGTTGGGTGGTGGGCTTTAAATGGTTGGGTGGTGCATCTTTAATTATATTTTGAGTAGCAACGTATTTAAGATTATCAAACATATTTTATCGATTGGAATTATCTGGAGAATTTGTGGACGAAGGTGGTTCTTCTGGTATTTGTTTGGTGCACTAAAGATGAGATGATTAGCATTGAGGGTTTGAATAGTCCAAATAAATAGGGCGAACATACGAGAAGTAGCTGACAAATTGCCAATTAGATCATAAATGAAGGATGTGATTGCAATGGAGGTTTAAGATAGAGAAGGTTTCATCAGGCCGGTCCAACAGTATGGAAAAAAAAAATATGGGTTTTGGGCCCCAAATTTTTAAAACACTCCATAATTTTAGGTAAATCACTAATTCAGATAAAAAAAATTAAATCTATTAAATTTTAAGCCTTATAAAATAATTTCAAAAAATTAATTAAAATTTTTATTGCAATAATTTGGGCCTATAATTGAATCTATAACATTAAAAACTTAGAAATTAAAAAAATAAAAAAATACTTAAAAGTCAACTCATATTTACTCCCACACACACTCTTTCTCTCTGATAAAAAAAACAAAAAACAAAAATTGAAATTAAACACTCTCTCCCTCTATGTGGTAAAAAACAAAAATTGAAATCTCTTTCTTAACAATATTAACACATTCTTCTTTTGTCTTCCTCTCACATAGAAAATTAAAAATAAATTATTTTTTTTAAAAAAATAATACTAAAAATAAAAAACTTCATTTAATGTTTCCGTTTTAGACCTCAAATTAGCTTGAGTGACCCTGGAGTTCCATGTCAATAAAGGTATAAATTTCAATATAGAAGTCATGCATGCATATAGATTATACAGCTACGGCTGTTAGTCGAATGAGCTCGAGCCGAGCTTGAAAAATTTGTTTCTTAATCAAGTTTAAAAAATTGTTCAAGTTTGGCTCGTTTAGGAAACGAGTTGAGCTTGAACGAGCTAAAACAAGTCGAGTCCGAGTATTTGCATAAAAACGAGTCGAGCCTATCGAGTTTGAGCCGAGCTTGTAGGGCTTATTTTTTAAACGAGTTTAAAAACTTGTTCAAATTCGAGTTCATTTATAAAACAAATCGAGATTGAACTCGTCGAACTCAAATCGAACTCGAGCCAAATTCGAATAGTGCAGTTTAATTAACAGCCCTAATAATACAGCACATGTGAATGTTGTTTGCACAACCTTCACTTTTCACTGTTTGATTCCTTTAATTTGTTGGGTGAGGGGGGACATATGAAATGAATTTCCATAGACGATATTATTATAATATTAAACATGCTTTTTATTTTTATTTTTATTTTTATTACAAAAAAATGAAAATTAGTTCTATTTTTTTATAAAAAAATATATATGAAAATGAAAACGTTGTTAAACACATCATTGTATCTCTATTTATTTTTTTGTAATTCATTACATATCTCTATCAAATTTTTAACCAAACCCATCCAAACAACGAACACCTTCCTACTACAAGGTGACACTTTGTCCTTCCCAATTAATCAAAATGAATCGATATTTTTTGTCAATAAATTAGATCAGAATTTGAGCAAATAAACGTACTATATCAAAATTTAACCAAATTTATGATCCAATTGCAAGGTGTAGTATCTATTATATTACAAGACATTGAATATACAATGCATACAAAATCAAACAAATTATTTCAAATATGACATGATAATAAAGCATGCCTAGGAATAAGTATCCATTAGATCACCATAGTATTATCCCCCTAATTTATCAGATTAATACTAGATTCTGTGTAAAGGCGCCTCTTCACACAAAAGAGTAAATTTATGAACGATAATCTCAAAAAGTTATGTTTCGTGGAATATTCAAACCCTGACCTATCCTTCATAAGAGATTTATTAGGTAATTATTAGTTAATTGTGCCACCACTAGGCAAACCCTTAGAGGTAGCCAAGAATAATTGTCCGAACACCAAGGATCTCTCTCTCTCTCTCTCTCTCTCTCTCTCTCTCTCCTTTTTCCTTTTTTTATTTTTCTTTATTGTAACTAAATCAACATTCATGAAAGTCATACATCAACCCCCCAAATCTCCTTATTAGAAGTCTTTGAAAAGTCAGGGATAATCTACCAAACTAGACCCAACTGATTCATTCAAAACCCAAAGTTAAAAGCTTTGTAATTTCTTGAAAGCTGTTGACAAAACTCTATATTGATGCTTTTGTTTGGTCTTGGTGCATCTTTTCCCCATTTTCTCTGTTTGTACCCATAATCAAAATTAGGTTTAAAATCACCAAAGAGAATATATGGATCCACAATCTAGTCATAGCATTCATGAAGATACTGCTGTGTGCCCAATCTTCCACATCTAGAATGCCGTCAAGTAGAGCCTACTACTGTGTTGATTGATATCCTCCTTAATCTCAATTAACATGTAAAGAACAGCCAAGTGCACAAAAGCTCCAACCAATATAGCGTCTCGGAAAGGTTAGATGTACAGAGCCTCATCACCGCATGTAGTAAGTTGTTTATCCGACTCGAGCCCCTGATGCCCCAGATCAATGTAGAATAGCTTACTGCTGAACCAAGGCCAACTCTGTACTCAAAACATCTACCACTTTTCTGAACAGTCCAAAAGCCAACCTGTATTTGCTACCATTGACTTCTCATCAGCAACAACAATATTAAAAAAAATGGCATTATTCTCGGAATAATAAAAATCTGCTCTCTGTGTGATATAAGTTCTTTAATTTGCAGCAAGCAAAACAATTAAGATAGTCCATCTGATCTGCAAAACCATTGAAAACATGTCATGATGCCTTCCCAAACACAAACTACATAAAAACAATGGGAGAAAAACAAAACCATAAATGGTTCTGTTGTAATTCATATTGCATATACAGGAGACATAGCTCCCTCGTAAACATTTATTTATCCGTCTATTACTTACATTTAATTTTTGGCCATGATTTGGGGTTCTAACAGTCCAATTCACCCATTTCACAGAGGACATTACATCAGTATTCACTCTTCATGCAAGTGAAAGTGACTAACGTACAAGAAATTATGATCCATTAAGTTAAATGGTAACCGAACTTAATTTAAAACCTCCAGGTACATGTGCAATAGATAGATCACCCACATGTCACCTTTAGCCATGCTAACTATAATGAGGGGCAAAAAACAGAAAATGGGGAGGTAGGAGATGCATTGGTTAACATAAATTACCAGCTACTTGTATGCACAACAGCACATTTGGCGTCATTTTGCAGGTGGAATGAGTTTCAGGACCCCAATAGGAGGATTTTTGACACAAAAAATCCATTTGCAACAATGCCATCAAATATAGCAGTCAAGTACAAACGAAGGTGGATCTTAACTTTGACGGTAAACCTATTAAGTTCAAGTCAGTTAAGGTTGCCCACCAAGGATAGATCGTCATTTCCCATATGTTACACTGTACTCCAACCAGCTGTCTTCCTCACTCCCCTTTCCTTCATGATTGTTCTAAACCTTTCTGCCTCTTCCCACCTCCCTGTAGAANTGAAAAGTCAGGGATAATCTACCAAACTAGACCCAACTGATTCATTCAAAACCCAAAGTTAAAAGCTTAGTAATTTCTTGAAAGCTGTTGACAAAACTCTATATTGATGCTTTTGTTTGGTCTTGGTGCATCTTTTCCCCATTTTCTCTGTTTGTACCCATAATCAAAATTAGGTTTAAAATCACCAAAGAGAATATATGGATCCACAATCTAGTCATAGCATTCATGAAGATACTGCTGTGTGCCCAATCTTCCACATCTAGAATGCCGTCAAGTAGAGCCTACTACTGTGTTGATTGATATCCTCCTTAATCTCAATTAACATGTAAAGAACAGCCAAGTGCACAAAAGCTCCAACCAATATAGCGTCTCGGAAAGGTTAGATGTACAGAGCCTCATCACCGCATGTAGTAAGTTGTTTATCCGACTCGAGCCCCTGATGCCCCAGATCAATGTAGAATAGCTTACTGCTGAACCAAGGCCAACTCTGTACTCAAAACATCTACCACTTTTCTGAACAGTCCAAAAGCCAACCTGTATTTGCTACCATTGACTTCTCATCAGCAACAACAATATTAAAAAAAATGGCATTATTCTCGGAATAATAAAAATCTGCTCTCTGTGTGATATAAGTTCTTTAATTTGCAGCAAGCAAAACAATTAAGATAGTCCATCTGATCTGCAAAACCATTGAAAACATGTCATGATGCCTTCCCAAACACAAACTACATAAAAACAATGGGAGAAAAACAAAACCATAAATGGTTCTGTTGTAATTCATATTGCATATACAGGAGACATAGCTCCCTCGTAAACATTTATTTATCCGTCTATTACTTACATTTAATTTTTGGCCATGATTTGGGGTTCTAACAGTCCAATTCACCCATTTCACAGAGGACATTACATCAGTATTCACTCTTCATGCAAGTGAAAGTGACTAACGTACAAGAAATTATGATCCATTAAGTTAAATGGTAACCGAACTTAATTTAAAACCTCCAGGTACATGTGCAATAGATAGATCACCCACATGTCACCTTTAGCCATGCTAACTATAATGAGGGGCAAAAAACAGAAAATGGGGAGGTAGGAGATGCATTGGTTAACATAAATTACCAGCTACTTGTATGCACAACAGCACATTTGGCGTCATTTTGCAGGTGGAATGAGTTTCAGGACCCCAATAGGAGGATTTTTGACACAAAAAATCCATTTGCAACAATGCCATCAAATATAGCAGTCAAGTACAAACGAAGGTGGATCTTAACTTTGACGGTAAACCTATTAAGTTCAAGTCAGTTAAGGTTGCCCACCAAGGATAGATCGTCATTTCCCATATGTTACACTGTACTCCAACCAGCTGTCTTCCTCACTCCCCTTTCCTTCATGATTGTTCTAAACCTTTCTGCCTCTTCCCACCTCCCTGTAGAACTATAAAGGTTGGAAATCAGTATATAGTACCCATCATTTTCTGGTTCAGATTCGATAGCATGTTTTGCTATTCTTATGCCCATCTCAGGATCATTGTGAATTTTACAAGCACCTAACAAAGCACCCCATAAACCCCCATCGGCAGCAATGGGCATTGACAAAACCAAAGCTTCAGCCTCTTGCAGATTGCCTGACCGACTAAGAAGATCTACCATGCAAGTGTAGTGTTTCAATGAGGGTCTTAGAAAATAATCTCCCATTTTACTAAACATAGACTTCCCTTCTTCGACAAGCCCTGCATGACTACACGCAGAGAGAACAGCAAGAAAAGTAAGTTCATTAGGTCTGACATTTGACTGCTCCATCTGTTGGAAAATTTCTATAGCAGATTTGGCATCTCCATGCATTCCATAGCCAGATATCATCACATTCCAACAAATTTCATCTTTTTGTCTTGGCGAGTCAAATATCTCTCTTGCTTTTCTGAGCTGTCCACATTTTGCATACAAATCAACTAATGCAGTAGCAAGAGGTAAACTAAGCTCAAACTCACCCGCCTTGATGTAGTTGTGAACCTGCTCTCCTTTCTCCAAAGACGTAATTTGAGAACAAGCAGAAAGCACAATTACCATCGTTGCTGAATTGAACTCAACGCCTTCTGAAACCATTCTATCAAACAGGGCTATGGCCTCNGGATGAATTGGGTTTGTTCAGAGAAGCATAGAAAGAGATGAGCTTTGATGTTATGAAGATGTTATCCGTGTGACCAGTTGTGATGATGTAAGCGTGGGATTGGAGGAGAGTTTTGAGGTCTGAGGTTTGATTGGAGAGGAAGGAACCGAAGTGACAGTTAAGGTAGTCGGAAATTTCAGAGGTCGAAGATGGGAGGAAGTGTTTGAAGAGATGGTTGGGTCTGCATCCGAGCATGAGAGTTCTTTTACAGTAGCGGAAAAAATAAAGAGAATTTGAGTCACTTTCATGGAGGAGAATGACAGCATGAGGCGTTTCTGCTGGAATTCTCTTCCATGGAAGTGGATGGAAATTTGCTTTCGCGGAAAAACCTTTTCCAGAGCCGTTTGGGATGAAAGAAAAAATGTCGGGGTTTGTCAACACTGTTGGCAGTCATGTTATTTTGGGATTATGTGGAGGATTAGCTAATTATAAAAAAAGTCTAAGATGGACTTGTTTGGAGGTCATTTAAAACCTCAAAATTTTTTTTTAGTTTAAGAAGAAAATAGGACCCATCCGTTTGCTCCAAAGCGAAACTCCTGTATAGTAATCCATAATACATCTGCCAAAATCATAAAGAAAAAAATTCAGTAATCCTATAAATAAAAGATAAGTACTGCTGTTATTAAGAATATCTCTAACTATGATTCAAATTTTTATTTAAATTTAAATTAATATTTAAATAAAAATTTTAATTTAATATAAAGGACTCCAATAGACAAATTCAAATTTAAAGAATGAGAGACTTAAATTTAAATGAGAACAAACACAAATTTAAAAGAGAATAAAGATAATCATTGAATCTTTAAAAGACGGTAAAATCTCACCATTAAAGATTTGAGTAAAATTTTAGAGTTTTCCTTGATTTGAGTTAAAAAAAAATGAGTTTCTCTTAATTTGATATAAATTTGAGTCAAAGGTTAGAAAAAAAATTTTAGACTTTTTTACTCAAATTTAAATTTGAGTAAAAAATAGAGATGTCGTAAGCAAATTGCAATCTATAAGAGCATCTTCAATCATGACTCAAATTTAAATTAAAATTTGAGCAAAAAGTTTGATTTAATATAAAGGACTCCAGTAGACTAACTCATATTTAAAGAATGAGAGACCCAAATTTAAATGAGGACAAACCCAAATTTAAAAAAGAGTAAGGATGATCATTGGATCTTTAAAAGATAGTAAAATTTCATCATTAAAGATTTGAGTTTCCCTTAATTTGAGTAAAAAAATGAGTTTTCCTTGATTTTGTATAGGTTTGAGTCAAGGGTTAGAGTAAATTTTTTAAACTTTTTTACTCAAATTTAAATTTGAGTTTAAATTTAAATAAGGATTAGAGATGCTCTCATACAATATCAAATATTCCTACAAAACAATCTCCAACTTGCAGTTAAAAATGGTAGCTAAATAAATTTCTTGTCACTCGAAAATAAACATAACCTGCATCAAGAAAATAAACACATCCAACCATCAAAGAAAAGAGTGTAAGTACAAAATTAAGACTTAACCCTCCATCGAAACCTTCATCAGAGGAGCTTATGTCCCAGTAGTTGAGAACGAATTTGCCCATTAGCGGCATCCCCACGAACCAATCACCAATAACAAGTTACAACCCACCAGATTATTGATGAATGTCAGCCCTCATNTAAATAAAAATTTTAATTTAATATAAAGGACTCCAATAGACAAATTCAAATTTAAAGAATGAGAGACTTAAATTTAAATGAGAACAAACACAAATTTAAAAGAGAATAAAGATAATCATTGAATCTTTAAAAGACGGTAAAATCTCACCATTAAAGATTTGAGTAAAATTTTAGAGTTTTCCTTGATTTGAGTTAAAAAAAAATGAGTTTCTCTTAATTTGATATAAATTTGAGTCAAAGGTTAGAAAAAAAATTTTAGACTTTTTTACTCAAATTTAAATTTGAGTAAAAAATAGAGATGTCGTAAGCAAATTGCAATCTATAAGAGCATCTTCAATCATGACTCAAATTTAAATTAAAATTTGAGCAAAAAGTTTGATTTAATATAAAGGACTCCAGTAGACTAACTCATATTTAAAGAATGAGAGACCCAAATTTAAATGAGGACAAACCCAAATTTAAAAAAGAGTAAGGNACGATAATAAAGCATGCCTAGGAATAAGTGTCCATTAGATCACCATAGTATTATCCCCCTAATTTATCGGATTAATACTAGATTCTGTGTAAAGGCGCCTCTTCACACAAAAGAGTAAATTTATGAACGATAATCTCAAAAAATTACGTTTCGTGGAATATTCAAACCCTGACCTATCCTTCATAAGAGATTTATTAGGTAATTATTAGTTAATTGTGCCACCACTAGGCAAACCCTTAGAGGTAGCCAAGAATAATTGTCCGAACACCAAGGATCTCTCTCTCTCTCTCTCTCTCTCTCTCTCTCTCTCCTTTTTCCTTTTTTTATTTTTCTTTATTGTAACTAAATCAACATTCATGAAAGTCATACATCAACCCCCCAAATCTCCTTATTAGAAGTCTTTGAAAAGTCAGGGATAATCTACCAAACTAGACCCAACTGATTCATTCAAAACCCAAAGTTAAAAGCTTAGTAATTTCTTGAAAGCTGTTGACAAAACTCTATATTGATGCTTTTGTTTGGTCTTGGTGCATCTTTTCCCCATTTTCTCTGTTTGTACCCATAATCAAAATTAGGTTTAAAATCACCAAAGAGAATATATGGATCCACAATCTAGTCATAGCATTCATGAAGATACTGCTGTGTGCCCAATCTTCCACATCTAGAATGCCGTCAAGTAGAGCCTACTACTGTGTTGATTGATATCCTCCTTAATCTCAATTAACATGTAAAGAACAGCCAAGTGCACAAAAGCTCCAACCAATATAGCGTCTCGGAAAGGTTAGATGTACAGAGCCTCATCACCGCATGTAGTAAGTTGTTTATCCGACTCGAGCCCCTGATGCCCCAGATCAATGTAGAATAGCTTACTGCTGAACCAAGGCCAACTCTGTACTCAAAACATCTACCACTTTTCTGAACAGTCCAAAAGCCAACCTGTATTTGCTACCATTGACTTCTCATCAGCAACAACAATATTAAAAAAAATGGCATTATTCTCGGAATAATAAAAATCTGCTCTCTGTGTGATATAAGTTCTTTAATTTGCAGCAAGCAAAACAATTAAGATAGTCCATCTGATCTGCAAAACCATTGAAAACATGTCATGATGCCTTCCCAAACACAAACTACATAAAAACAATGGGAGAAAAACAAAACCATAAATGGTTCTGTTGTAATTCATATTGCATATACAGGAGACATAGCTCCCTCGTAAACATTTATTTATCCGTCTATTACTTACATTTAATTTTTGGCCATGATTTGGGGTTCTAACAGTCCAATTCACCCATTTCACAGAGGACATTACATCAGTATTCACTCTTCATGCAAGTGAAAGTGACTAACGTACAAGAAATTATGATCCATTAAGTTAAATGGTAACCGAACTTAATTTAAAACCTCCAGGTACATGTGCAATAGATAGATCACCCACATGTCACCTTTAGCCATGCTAACTATAATGAGGGGCAAAAAACAGAAAATGGGGAGGTAGGAGATGCATTGGTTAACATAAATTACCAGCTACTTGTATGCACAACAGCACATTTGGCGTCATTTTGCAGGTGGAATGAGTTTCAGGACCCCAATAGGAGGATTTTTGACACAAAAAATCCATTTGCAACAATGCCATCAAATATAGCAGTCAAGTACAAACGAAGGTGGATCTTAACTTTGACGGTAAACCTATTAAGTTCAAGTCAGTTAAGGTTGCCCACCAAGGATAGATCGTCATTTCCCATATGTTACACTGTACTCCAACCAGCTGTCTTCCTCACTCCCCTTTCCTTCATGATTGTTCTAAACCTTTCTGCCTCTTCCCACCTCCCTGTAGAACTATAAAGGTTGGAAATCAGTATATAGTACCCATCATTTTCTGGTTCAGATTCGATAGCATGTTTTGCTATTCTTATGCCCATCTCAGGATCATTGTGAATTTTACAAGCACCTAACAAAGCACCCCATAAACCCCCATCGGCAGCAATGGGCATTGACAAAACCAAAGCTTCAGCCTCTTGCAGATTGCCTGACCGACTAAGAAGATCTACCATGCAAGTGTAGTGTTTCAATGAGGGTCTTAGAAAATAATCTCCCATTTTACTAAACATAGACTTCCCTTCTTCGACAAGCCCTGCATGACTACACGCAGAGAGAACAGCAAGAAAAGTAAGTTCATTAGGTCTGACATTTGACTGCTCCATCTGTTGGAAAATTTCTATAGCAGATTTGGCATCTCCATGCATTCCATAGCCAGATATCATCACATTCCAACAAATTTCATCTTTTTGTCTTGGCGAGTCAAATATCTCTCTTGCTTTTCTGAGCTGTCCACATTTTGCATACAAATCAACTAATGCAGTAGCAAGAGGTAAACTAAGCTCAAACTCACCCGCCTTGATGTAGTTGTGAACCTGCTCTCCTTTCTCCAAAGACGTAATTTGAGAACAAGCAGAAAGCACAATTACCATCGTTGCTGAATTGAACTCAACGCCTTCTGAAACCATTCTATCAAACAGGGCTATGGCCTCNAAACATAAGGCGTGCATTGTCCACTGAACCAAATTTCGAGTACATGTACACAAATGAAGACCCAACTGCGGAATTACCCTCCAAAAATCCAAATTTTGAAACAAACCCATGAATTTTCATGCCATATTTTATCGACCCAAGCTCGGCACAAGTGGAAACAACCATTGGTATGGTAAATTGGTTAGGCAGCATATCAGATAACCGCATGTCGTGAAAAAATTCAAGGGCTTGTGAGTAATGTCCATTAGAGAAGTGAGCTTTGATTATGGAGTTCCAGAGAAATGGGTCTTTAAAATAAACTGAATTGAATACTTTAGTGGATGAATTGGGTTTGTTCAGAGAAGCATAGAAAGAGATGAGCTTTGATGTTATGAAGATGTTATCCGTGTGACCAGTTGTGATGATGTAAGCGTGGGATTGGAGGAGAGTTTTGAGGTCTGAGGTTTGATTGGAGAGGAAGGAACCGAAGTGACAGTTAAGGTAGTCGGAAATTTCAGAGGTCGAAGATGGGAGGAAGTGTTTGAAGAGATGGTTGGGTCTGCATCCGAGCATGAGAGTTCTTTTACAGTAGCGGAAAAAATAAAGAGAATTTGAGTCACTTTAATGGAGGAGAATGACAGCATGAGGCGTTTCTGCTGGAATTCTCTTCCATGGAAGTGGATGGAAATTTGCTTTCGCGGAAAAACCTTTTCCAGAGCCGTTTGGGATGAAAGAAAAAATGTCGGGGTTTGTCAACACTGTTGGCAGTCATGTTATTTTGGGATTATGTGGAGGATTAGCTAATTATAAAAAAAGTCTAAGATGGACTTGTTTGGAGGTCATTTAAAACCTCAAAATTTTTTTTTAGTTTAAGAAGAAAATAGGACCCATCCGTTTGCTCCAAAGCGAAACTCCTGTATAGTAATCCATAATACATCTGCCAAAATCATAAAGAAAAAAATTCAGTAATCCTATAAATAAAAGATAAGTACTGCTGTTATTAAGAATATCTCTAACTATGATTCAAATTTTTATTTAAATTTAAATTAATATTTAAATAAAAATTTTAATTTAATATAAAGGACTCCAATAGACAAATTCAAATTTAAAGAATGAGAGACTTAAATTTAAATGAGAACAAACACAAATTTAAAAGAGAATAAAGATAATCATTGAATCTTTAAAAGACGGTAAAATCTCACCATTAAAGATTTGAGTAAAATTTTAGAGTTTTCCTTGATTTGAGTTAAAAAAAAATGAGTTTCTCTTAATTTGATATAAATTTGAGTCAAAGGTTAGAAAAAAAATTTTAGACTTTTTTACTCAAATTTAAATTTGAGTAAAAAATAGAGATGTCGTAAGCAAATTGCAATCTATAAGAGCATCTTCAATCATGACTCAAATTTAAATTAAAATTTGAGCAAAAAGTTTGATTTAATATAAAGGACTCCAGTAGACTAACTCATATTTAAAGAATGAGAGACCCAAATTTAAATGAGGACAAACCCAAATTTAAAAAAGAGTAAGGATGATCATTGGATCTTTAAAAGATAGTAAAATTTCATCATTAAAGATTTGAGTTTCCCTTAATTTGAGTAAAAAAATGAGTTTTCCTTGATTTTGTATAGGTTTGAGTCAAGGGTTAGAGTAAATTTTTTAAACTTTTTTACTCAAATTTAAATTTGAGTTTAAATTTAAATAAGGATTAGAGATGCTCTCATACAATATCAAATATTCCTACAAAACAATCTCCAACTTGCAGTTAAAAATGGTAGCTAAATAAATTTCTTGTCACTCGAAAATAAACATAACCTGCATCAAGAAAATAAACACATCCAACCATCAAAGAAAAGAGTGTAAGTACAAAATTAAGACTTAACCCTCCATCGAAACCTTCATCAGAGGAGCTTATGTCCCAGTAGTTGAGAACGAATTTGCCCATTAGCGGCATCCCCACGAACCAATCACCAATAACAAGTTACAACCCACCAGATTATTGATGAATGTCAGCCCTCATCCTTATAAATGAGACCTAAAAGGAGATGAATTAACAAAGAGAAGGTATATAGTTAACACATAGAAGCAGGAAGAATTCTAAGAGGTTTTGCACCATTTAGAAAAAAAACACAGAGAAACTGTACAACCATACCAGTAAATGCCAATTGTATAATTGGGTTCTTAAATTCCAAATATTGCATACACTTTCGAATTGAATTCAAAAACCGGAGAATGAAAGAGCAATGAAGGTTACGCAAGGAGCACCTAAACCGACTACTCAGAGGGGTTAAAATGACCTATGGCATTGAAGAGGGGTTCCAAAAAAAAGATGAAAGTTTTGAGAAATAGTATAGATTTTGTAATAGTGTAGACATAGATAAGATTTAACCAATGCAAAAATAGAAAGTCAAAAATTCAACAATTAAAGTTGAAATCAATACAACCAGACATTGCGTGTGAATATGACTGATTTGAGAAGTCCAAAGGATATGAAAAGATTTTATAGTTAATTGAAAAAGATGAAAGAAAGAGTGCTCTAGGGAATTAGTTGTTTTATTGAGGTTATTATGATCAATTAAAAGTTTTTTATTTTTGTTGATATTTTATAGTAGTATAAATTTATATAACAAAGGGTAATTTTATATTTTTAAAAGATAGGTAGTCAAATCGTACACTTTATATAGTGTCAAAAACGCAAAAAAAAAAAAATCTATTGTCAGAGACAGAAGTTATCGTTAGAGTATCTTTAACCATGACTTAAATTTGGACTTAAATTTAAGTAAAAAACTTGATTTTGTAAAGAGTATTTCTATGGTTAAACTCAAATATCTACTCAATTTTTTTAAAAAATTTCCTTATCTATACTACTAATAAAAAAAAATTACGCGAAAAACTTTTGATTGACTATAATATCTTTCATAAAACATATAATTCCCTTAAACAATTTTTTTTTTATCTTCTCCAATTAATTACATACTCCTCTCCTATTCTTTCATCTTCTTAAGTTAGTTATGTACATATACTTAATATTTTATGTATTCATTTCAACTTTAATTATTGATTTTAGTTCTAAGTACACTACCACTTTTTTGTTTTTCCACATAATGGACTCGATAATTTTTAATTTTTTAATTCTAAACATATGAATTTATTTAAGGTTTTAATGTTTTTAGGCCAATAGTATTTTGTGGCCACAAGAAATCTTGAAAATTTTCTCCTAATTTGATATTTGGGTTTTATGAACATGAAAAAATCAAGAGTTTATGGTAACTACAAAAAAAAATTAAAAACTTTTTCCATCTTTTCTATTGGATTTCAAGAATTGCTATAAAAATGTTCTTGCTTGATATGAAAATATCCTCTCTATATCATAAAAATCGATTTCTAAGCAATCACCTTTGTCCTANCCCAAGGAGCACCTAAACCGACTACTCAGAGGGGTTAAAATGACCTATGGCATTGAAGAGGGGTTCCAAAAAAAAGATGAAAGTTTTGAGAAATAGTATAGATTTTGTAATAGTATAGACATAGATAAGATTTAACCAATGCAAAAATAGAAAGTCAAAAATTCAACAATTAAAGTTGAAATCAATACAGCCAGACATTGCGTGTGTATATGACTGATTTGAGAAGTCCAAAGGATATGAAAAGATTTTATAGTTAATTGAAAAAGATGAAAGGAAGAGTGCTCTAGGGAATTAGTTGTTTTATTGAGGTTATTATGATCAATTAAAAGTTTTTTACTTTTGTTGATATTTTATAATAGTATAAATTTATATAACAAAGGATAATTTTGCATTTTCAAAAGATAAGTAGTCAAATCGTACACTTTATCTAGTGTCAAAAATGCAAAAAAAAAAAAAAAATCTATTGTCAGAGACAGAAGTTATCGTTAGAGTATCTTTAACTATGACTTAAATTTGAGTAAAAAACTTGATTTTGTAAAGAGTATTTCTATGGTTAAACTCAAATATCTACTCAATTTTTTTAAAAAATTTCCTTATCTATACTACTAATAAAAAAAAATTACGCGAAAAACTTTTGATTGACTATAATATCTTTCATAAAACATATAATTCCCTTAAACAATTTTTTTTTTATCTTCTCCAATTAATTACATACTCCTCTCCTATTCTTTCATCTTCTTAAGTTAGTTATGTACATATACTTAATATTTTATGTATTCATTTCAACTTTAATTATTGATTTTAGTTCTAAGTACACTACCACTTTTTTGTTTTTCCACATAATGGACTCGATAATTTTTAATTTTTTAATTCTAAACATATGAATTTATTTAAGGTTTTAATGTTTTTAGGCCAATAGTATTTTGTGGCCACAAGAAATCTTGAAAATTTTCTCCTAATTTGATATTTGGGTTTTATGAACATGAAAAAATCAAGAGTTTATGGTAACTACAAAAAAAAATTAAAAACTTTTTCCATCTTTTCTATTGGATTTCAAGAATTGCTATAAAAATGTTCTTGCTTGATATGAAAATATCCTCTCTATATCATAAAAATCGATTTCTAAGCAATCACCTTTGTCCTAGTTTATATGTGTGAGGGTGTACAATTTTTCCAAAACTAAAAAGAGCTCGTGGCTTGCCCTTGCATGTCGATGGTTGGATAATTACTTTTAACTTCTACTTTTCAATTTTTTTTCCATTCTATCTTGAAAAAAATATTTCAAAGAATCTAAAAAAATATTGAATAACAAGTAATTAGAGAATAAATATTTTGTGATTCTCTTTTCAAGTGAGCATGTCATGTATATGACAAAACTGCATGTTAGATAGTTTATATTTTCATTGAGTGTATATTTATAATGTCAAATATAATTAGATTTTACAAAATAATGATTAATATAGAGACACTATTTTATTGAGTTTAATCCTACTATTTTTGCTTAATGTAGTCAAATTAAGGTTTGGAAATTACAATAATTTATCTGATATTTTGATTGAATTTTTGTATCAAATTTTTACGTCTTGAACTTATATTGAACAATGAACATCTGAAAAAGCATTGGTTTATGTACCTTTAAAAAATATTATTTATTTTGGGTCAAGTAAATAGAGATGGAAACTTTTTTAGCCTTTGATCTCTCACTCTCCAAAAAAAGAAATTAAAATTACAATTTTATTAAGTTTAATTCAACTATTTGTAATGTCGAGATCACTTTTTCTAATTTTGGTGCTAAATAAAATATTTTTAATGAGATTGTCCACGTGCAAAGCACGTGTACACCAACTAGTTGTCCAAAAACTTGTTTTTTTTTTGTGATATTCAAATCATGATATTTAAATAAAATAAATACATCTTTCATATCTATCCACAAATGTATAATTCAAACAAAAAAAAAATATGTATATCACACTACATGTGAATAAAGAAACCATCCAAGAATTCTAAAATTGTTCTAATCTCTTATCATTTTTATTTATAAATTCCAATAAAGAAAAAAAAATATAACTATTTTGACATGGATTTGGTCTGGTGAATAAAAATATACTTTTTTTTTAACAAAAATGAAAGATTAGAGAAATAAAATGATGAATTTTCTAAATNTAATTTGATATTTGGGTTTTATGAACATGAAAAAATCAAGAGTTTATGGTAACTACAAAAAAAAATTAAAAACTTTTTCCCTCTTTTCTATTGGATTTCAAGAATTGCTATAAAAATGTTCTTGCTTGATAAGAAAATATCCTCTCTATATCATAAAAATCGATTTCTAAGCAATCACCTTTGTCCTANCTATGACTTAAATTTGAGTAAAAAACTTGATTTTGTAAAGAGTATTTCTATGGTTAAACTCAAATATCTACTCAATTTTTTTAAAAAAATTTCTTATCTATACTACTAATAAAAAAAAATTACGCGAAAAACTTTTGATTGACTATAATATCTTTCATAAAACATATAATTCCCTTAAACAATTTTTTTTTTATCTTCTCAAATTAATTACATACTCCTCTCCTATTCTTTCATCTTCTTAAGTTAGTTATGTACATATACTTAATATTTTATGTATTCATTTCAACTTTAATTATTGATTTTAGTTCTAAGTACACTACCACTTTTTTGTTTTTCCACGTAATAGACTCGGTAATTTTTAGTTTTTTAATTCTAAACATATGAATTTATTTAAGGTTTTAATGTTTTTAGGCCAATAGTATTTTGTGGCCACAAGAAATCTTGAAAATTTTCTCCTAATTTGATATTTGGGTTTTATGAACATGAAAAAATCAAGAGTTTATGGTAACTACAAAAAAAAATTAAAAACTTTTTCCCTCTTTTCTATTGGATTTCAAGAATTGCTATAAAAATGTTCTTGCTTGATAAGAAAATATCCTCTCTATATCATAAAAATCGATTTCTAAGCAATCACCTTTGTCCTAGTTTATATGTGTGAGGGTGTACAATTTTTCCAAAACTAAAAAGAGCTTGTGGCTTGCCCTTGTATGTTGATGGTTGAATAATTACTTTTAATTTCTACTTTTCAATTTTTTTTCCATTCTATCTTGGAAAAAATATTTCAAAAAATCTACAAAAGCATTGAATAACAAGTAATTAGAGAATAAAGATTTTGTGATTCTCTTTTCAAGTGAGCATGTCATGTATATGACAAAACTACATGTTAGATAGTTTATCTTTTCATTGATTGTATATTTATAATGTCAAATATAATTAGATTTTACAAAATAATGATTAATATATAGACACTATTTTATTGAGTTTAATCCTACTATTTTTGCTTAATGTAGTCAAATTAAGGTTTTGGAATTACAATAATTTATCTGATATTTTGATTGAATTTTTGTATCAAATTTTTACGTCTTGAACTTATATTGAACGATGAACATCTGAAAAAGCATTGGTTTATGTACCTTTGAAAAATATTATTTATTTTGGGTTAAGTAAATAGAGATGAAAACTTTTT